TATTTTTCATCATCTTCACGCTTAATAACATTATTTAAGTTCGTTTTAGAAATATACTATTTGTAATTCTGAGAACGCAGGCTTTAACTCTACGTGCACTCCAAAGGTTGACAAAGCACTCGTTGACAAAGCACGTGTTGACAAATTGTCTATTTGCACTGCCGGCATCATTATCCGAGATTGGTGTGTATATTTCAACTGAAATGGACACCCCTGCCCAGACGTCAACATCACGATATTGACACAGCACGTGCTCCTCGAGGATAGGCGTCTTCATTCAGGTTATAGTGAGTGGATTTTGTTTTGAATGAAAAATACCTGAATGCGTTGTACGATCATCCCCACTTTTGAAAAAAACTTCCCGAGGAAAAAGTTATCCGTGAACAATTTGGGTGTTTTATACAGTTTTACTTGAAAAGCGGCCGTCAAACATTTGATTCGTCAAATATAGCGTTTGACAGTTTGGCACCGCGAATCGGGTTTACACATTTTGTCGGGTATTCTTGCGACGAGGGGCGGTTGGTTAGCCCTTGTGGTTAAAACGTTCGCTCGTCACACCGAAGATCCGGTTTCGATTCCCCACACGGGTACAATGTGTGAAGCTCATTTCTGGTGTCCCCCGCCGTGATATTGCTGGAATATTGATAAAAACCTCGTAAAACCTAACTCACTCACTCACTCTTGCGACGAACAAACGACTGACTGACTGACTGAGTTTGGTTTTACGCCGCTTTTAGCAATATTCCAGCAACATCACGGCGGGGAACACCAGAAATGGGCTGCACACATTGTACCCATGTGGGGATTCGAACTCGGGTCTTCGGCGTGACGAGCCAACGCTTTAACCACTAGGCTACCCCACCGCCCCACGAACAAACGAGCAAACGTTACCGCCTGATCTAGTCAAACACTAACTCTGATGTTTATTTTATATAGTATTGGTACAAACGTGGGAAACTCTTAACTTTTCAAACACCATATTAATACGTTTGACATTAACAATTACATTGCGTGAATTGCATATACAAGTTTGGATGATATAAACTGACATGCAACAGAAAGTATACTTCTGGTGTTTTTGTGAGTGAGTGAGTTTAGTTTTACGCCGCACTCAGCATTATTCCAGCTATATGGTGGCGGTGTGTAAATAATCGAGTCGGGACCAGACAATCCAGTGATCAACAGCATCATCATCGATCTGCGCAATTGGGAACCGACATGTGACATGTGTCAACCAAATCAGGGAGCCTGACCACCCGATCCCGTTAATCGCGTCATACCAAAAGACGTTAAAATGTGGTACTTGTTGGTTCATGCCTGGCGCTCGGCATTAATGGGTACAACAAGGACTGGTCGTCTCGGAGTCAGTATCTGTCTGAGTGGGGTATTCATGCTTAACTGTTGCATGGTATCCCAGTGGGCTAGCACTATAAAACCAGCTAAGTCTGGGCTAGTACAAGCAGCCGCACATACACACGCATGCACGTCGTCATATGAGCGAAATATTCTTAAGTGAGACTTTAAACCCCATTTCACCTCACTTAAAAAAAATAAAATTGTCTTCTTACAAGGTGGTGTTTATATTATGATTATACCGTTTTGTTTACATGTTTTTCAATCCAAATTGACAGTTATAACCTATATCAGTGTGTTTTCTGATGAAAAAGCATATCGACCAAAAGTACCTAAAAAGACAGACATGGTAAAAGGTTCCGTATGACATTCGTGAAAATACGTGACAACCCTTCCAATGAAAGCGAGTCCCAAACTCGCCTGAAATTATTCTTGTGTTGACACAATCGCCATTCCAGAGACCAGAGGAACCAAGCCTTGGGACGCTTGCAAGCTGGCCAGACTGCACGGTGGGTAGCCAAACATTTAAATGTTCATGTTAGGACAATTTACCGACTGCAGGAATGGTATCAGGTCACTAACAGCATCCACGACCGTCCACGCAGTGGGCGACCTGAATAACATCACAACGTCGGCAGATTGTGCGCAACCGTCTGCAGGATCGCATTACATGAGCCACGGAACCAGCACGCCAGACCACTAGGACTCACAAGAGACCCATTAGTGCCGATACAGTGCGTCGACGTTTGCGCAGAAGAAACCTCTGCTGTCATAGACCATATCGTAGTCCTGTCGCCACAGCTCATCATCGCCAAAACCGACGTTATCGACAATGGAGAACTGTGCTTTTTACAGATGAAAGCCGAAATTGTGTTTCGACAGCCGATGCCAGAGTGAGAGTATGGCGAAGGCGTGGGGAACGGTTTTCCAATGCGTGCGTTGTTGAAAGAGATTCTTGTGGTCCAAGCATCATGGTGTGGGGTGCAATCGGTCTGAACCAGAGAGCTGGCCCTGTGGTGTTCCAGAATCTCATTCCAGGACGAGGAAATGGCGTGACAGCTGCTCGTTTAGACTAACAACTAGTATCTGAAATGAACATATTTTACTGAAAAAAGTTCATAGCAAAAAAAATATATATATATTGAAAAAGAGCACTGAGACTTTCTTCATTTTCAGAGTAAATCTAGACTTGCCACATTTTCTAGACTTGCGTGGCCTTTCTTGGATATATTTGCTTCAGGGTCTGTACGACAGACTACTGCTCGCTATACTGACCAAGTCATAAGACCCAACTTTATACCACATTTTGGACTTTACAGAAATCACACCTTCCAGCAAGAAAACAATCGTGCCCACACTGCCAGAGCAACACTGGACTTCCAAAGACAACATGGCATCCAAACCCTACAATAGCCTGCACTCAGTCCGGATTTAAGTCCAACAGAACACCTTTGGGACGAGATTCAAGGAAGACTGAATGACCTCCAACCAAGTCCGACAACTGCGACTGGACTCGATCAGGCATTTCGCAGAGTACGGACCCAAGTGCCTATGGCCTTCATCAACCGTCTGATTCATTCCATGTACAGGCGACGCAATGCCGTCATCGATGCCCATGGAGGCCACACACAATACTGACTTTGGGATATCCTAATGGTACCATTTCTGGTGAATTTGTTTGTGTGGAAACTAAATGTGATTCCCGAAAATGTGTTAACCGTAATTGTCAAGTTTGAACGCAATCATCCGTTTTGATTGTTAATTAGAGCGAATCAAAGTGTGCGGTTTAAGAAACCTCTATCGGTGTGGCGTTTCTTTTGCGGTTCAGCATACGTACATGGTGTTTTAATTTTCATCAATTGGGTAAGAAATCCAGAAACCACAAAAGAGTGGAAAACAATGCTGACTGAAATAAAATTCTAATTTAAAACAATGAAAAAAGGTCCGGGTTTATGTTTATTTTTAACACCAACTCAAAATATGGGTACCATCACCCTTTTAGGTATTTAGTAAAACCATAGCCTAAAACTTCTTTGAACTTATTCCAGAACTATCGCCTCTGGGACGCCGGAGAGTGGAAGGTCGCGGGTTCGATCCCCGACCGCTTCATACCAAAAGACGTTAAAATATGGTACTTGTTGGTCCCTGCCTGGCGCTCGGCATTAATGGGTACAACAAGGACTGGTCGGCTCGGAGTCAGTATAATGTGTCTGAGTGGGGTATTCATGCTTCACTGCGGCATGGTATCTCAGTGGGCTAGCACTATAAAACCAGCTTAAGTCTGGGCTAGTACAAGCAGCCACACATACACATACATACGGATGCACGTCGTCATATGAGCGAAATATTCTCAAGCACGACGTTAAACCCAATTTCACCTCACCTTTCACCTCACCGCCTCTGGGACTCCAGAGGTGGACTCGGTGCATTGTAACCATTTGGAGAATCGAACCCGCGCTTTCGGAGTGACTAACGAACGCTTTGCCCACCAGACTACTCCTATCATATACCTGACTGAGTATGGTTTTACGCCGCTTTTAGCAATATTCCAGCAACATCACGGCGGGGGGACACTAGAAATGGGCTTCACACATTGTGCCCATGTGGGGAATCGAACCCGGGAGTTGGGCGTGACCCGGGAGTCTACCCCATTCTGGTATCGTTGTCTGTCAGAGTCAAATCTACGTATGAATTCGTTATATGAAAGGGACGGTGGGGTAGACTCCCGGGTCAGTAGACAAATAACCACTAGGTGATTTGGACATCTTCTAATACAGTTTAGTCGCATATATATATATATATATATATATATATATATATATATATATGCGACTAAACTGTATTAGAAGATGTCCAAATCACCTAGTGGTTATTTGCCTACTGACACTGATATAACTACAGACCAAAATACGGTCTACAAGTTGATTTAAATCTCTTTACAATTATACCATTCTCGTTTATTTTTCTAGCTATTTTTGCCTCGTTTTTTGGCGCCCGAATTTACACTATAAACAACGAACTAAATGGTGTTCGGATAAGCGGGGTTCCGCTGTATGCGGTGAACTAAACCATGGTTAGGAGATGTTCATTAATATATCACGAGTGTTCGAGTATCTCGAAGTAACAACACCGTCTCGATGGGTTCCAGTCAACGGGATTCGACTGTATAATATTATATGCTTTCATCTATATATTCATCTATTGACCAAAGACACATGTGGGCACCAATGTCCTTTGTTAATACATCTGAGTAGTAAAACCAGTCATAATGACCCCACCACCAAAAAATAAATAAATAAATAATAATTAACAAAAATGAAATGAGATAAAATAAAATGAAATAAAATTAAACATAATAAAATTAAATGAAATGGTGGAATACAAATACAAAAAATAAATATATACATAAATTACATTAATACATAAGTAATAATTCACAAAAATAAAAAAATAAAATGTCATGGTGGAATACAAAAACAGGTTCACCTGTAGAGTTGCCAATTCAAATCTTGCAACAGTTTTAATGGTGAAGATTATTACGAATGACGACAACAAAAATGATAAAAACTCCTGTAAGAAATCATCACAGCTTAATACATTTTGCTTAATTCTTAAAACAATATTGTAATGTACAATGGTAAAGTTACCTGCGGAAATTATCACAAATCGATGCATGGAAAACCAGAGACAAGACCGTCCGTGGAAACGTCGCGCTAAAACTTGCTACCCCAAATGTTGTACAGTTGTTTAAAACGTATACGTGAGTTCATCTGGATTTGTAAAAGGGCGATAAAGTCAACACTCACGGCGATAAACCGCCTATAGCAACAAGCCGTGGAAGCACCTAAGTAAATAAGTAACTGAACATCTCCCGTGAGAACTACGGAAGCCTGATCCTGCCACGTCGCTAACATAAAACATTTTCAGCGACATTTCTCGTTGCTTTTATTATTTTGTCCATGCTTGGGAGTATTTTCTCGTTATTTCAATTATTTTCTTGTCACTTCGATTATTTTCTCGTTACTTAGATTATCTCGTTGCTTCGATTATTTTCTCGTTTCGATTATTTTTTCATTACGATTGTTTTTACTGTTCCTCGTTGCTTTGAGTATTTTCTCGTCGCTTCAATTTTTTCTGGTTACTTCGTTTATTTTCTCGTTACTTCGATTGTTTTCTCGTTACTTCGATTGTTTTGTTGCTTCGATTATTTTCTCCTTGCTTTGATTATTTTCTGGTTACTTCGATTATTTCTTCTTAATTCGATTATTTTCGGTTACTCCGATTGTTTTATTACTTTCCTCGTTACTTCGGTTGTGTTCTCGTTGCTTCAATTAATTTCTCTGTGTTTCCTCTTTACTTCAAGGTTCTTTCAAAAACTTGAAATTTCGATAAATTTCTCCTTACTTCAAATATTTTCTCGTTGCTTCAAAAAATTTCTTTCAAACACTCGAAATTTCAAGTTTGGAAAGAACCTTGAAACAACGAGAAAATACTAAAAGCAACGAGAAATTAATTGAAATAACGAGTAAATAATTGAAAGAACGAGTAAATACTCCCAAGCGCTGACAAAATAACGGAAGCAACGAGAAATTTCGCCTACAAATATTTAAAGCTACAAAAGTGGCAGGAATAGGCTTCCGTATAGAAGAACTGGTGCGACGAGTTTTTCGGTGTTTGAAAGGGGTATTTGTCTGTGTGTACAGTTTGATTTAAGCGCTGATTTACTAATTGCCATTGTTTGATGGTTTGATTAACGTCATACACGTTGGCGTTGTTGCATGCTTACGTGGACGTAGAAGCTGCGAATGACGCAGACAACGGCGTTTTCGATATTTGGGGCGACCTCGGTCGACACCAGGCGCTCGGCTTGATGACTTAGTGTTAATCCGTGAGGCGGCGACGTGACTGTTAACTCGCGCCGCCCTCCCCGACACCAACACCCACTTCCGGGTCTAAGAGTAGGCACACAGTGGCTGGATGTTGTTTTATGCCGCCATTTGGAATTGTTCACACAGAGAGGTAGTGACGTGAATCCTAAACAGATCCGCCCTTCCGTCATCAACACCTACTTTGAGGACTGGGGCGGTGGGGTAGCCTAGTGGTTAAAGCGTTGGCTCGTCAGGCCGAAGACCCGGGTTCGAATCCCCACATGGGTACAATTTGTGAAGCCCATTTCTGGTGTCCCCCGACGTGATGTTGCTGGAATATTGCTTAAAGCGGCGTAAAACCAAAAATTCAGTCAGTACTTTGAGGACTTACTGTAGATACATTGTGAATGAATGTTGTTTTATTTCACCTTTACCAATATTCCAGACCGAGAGATAGCGACGTGAATCTGCACTCATTTGACTCGCCCTTCCGTCATCATGGGCGACGGGTAGCAGGATCTTTACCCATGCTTTCGATCACTAGGTCTACTCAAGGCTCGAGTATTTGCAATGTGCCGTCATGAAACTTGCATGTTGTCAATTGTCAAGATTTGAAACAACATTCACATAACTGCTTCGCTGTATGTATAACAAATATTGATTTCATTTAGTTTTGGGGCGGTGGGGTAGCCTAGTGGTTAAAGCGTTCGCTCGTCACGCCGAAGAGCCAGGTTCGATTCCCCACATGGGTACAATGAGTGAAGCCCATTTCTGGTGTCGCACGCCGTGATACTGCTTGAATATTGCTAAAAGCGGCGTAAAACTAAACTCACTCATTCACTTCCGCCATCAACACTCACTTCCTTGTCTAACTGTAGGAACACAGTGAATGAAAGTTTTATTTATGCCGCATTTGCCAACAATCCAGCCATATCACTTTGGGGCGAAGAGAACTGGCGTCATTCATTGCACCAGTACGGACTCGAACTTGAGTACTCGGTATCACGAGTGATCGCTCTAACCACAAAACTACCCAACCGTCTACAAACTAGAAAAGAATATTTGCAAATCCTCAGTAACAGATAAAATTCTGGTGTATGCACAAAGCCTGATTGCTGGGTTCACCGGGTATTTCAAACACTGCTAAACAAATGAGTGAGTGAGTTTAGTTTTAGCAACAACACGGCGGAGGACACCAGAAATGGGCTTCACGCATTGTACCCATGTGGAGAATCGAACCCGGGTCCTCGGCGTGACGAGCGAACGGTTTAACCACTAGGCTACCCCACCGGCCCCTAAACAAATGGACCGCCTCCGTGGTGTAGTGGTTAGAGCGTCCGCCCGGAGTGCGGTAGGTCGCGGGTTCGATCCCCGACTGCGTCATACCAAAAGACGTTAATATGGTACTTGTTGGTCCCTGCCTGGCGCTCGGCATTAATGGGTACAACAAGGACTGGTCGGCTCGGAGTCAGTATAATGTGTCTGAGTGGGGTATTCATGCTTCACTGCGGCATGGTATCACAGTGGGCTAGCACTATAAAACCAGCTTAAGTCTGGGCTAGTACAAGCAGCCGCACATACACATACACACGCATGCACGTCGTCATATGAGCGAAATACATGTATTCTCAAGCACGACGTTAAACCCAATTCCACCACCACGTAAACAAATGAAATCAATATTTGTTATACATACAAAGAAGCAGTTATGTGAATGTTGTTTCAAACCTTGACAATTGACAACAAGCAAATTTCATGACGGCACCGTGCAAATACCCGAGTCTAAAGTAGACCAAGTAATCGAAAGCATGAGTAAAGATCCTGTTTCAGAACTTGTTTTATCTGTTCCTTGTTTAACTCAACTCTGCACTCATGTATGACGTCAGTCTGCAAATAATCCAGTCTGGACCAGACAATCCTCCCCGTGAAGATCCGGGTAAGAATCTTAATGTCAGTCTGTTGTTAGGTATATAATTTACATATGCCCATCGGGCCCGTGACGAGCCGGGGTAGAATATTTCTTCAGCAACCCATGCTTGCCACAAAAGGCGACTATGCTTGTCGTAAGAGGCGATTAACGGGATCGGGTTGTCAGGCTCGCTGACTTGGTTGACCCATGTCATCGGTTCCCAATTGCGCAGATCGATGCTCATGCTGTTGATCACTGGATTGTCTGGTCCAGACTCGATTATTTACAGACCGCCGCCATATAGCTGGAATATTGCTGAGTGCGGCGTAAAACTAAACTCACTCACATATGCCCATCGTATCATTAATACTTCATCATAATTTACGTTTATGTTTGTGCATGAATTAATTGTAAACATGTTAAAAGGTATTGTGTATCCAACAACCGTGAGTTTTAATTGCAAACATGTTAAATGGTATTGTCTAAACAATAAATGTGAGTTTTAAAAAAATAAATGACCCGTGAAGATCCGGGTTAGAATTGATCTTCAAAATCCCATGCTTGTCGTAAAAGGCGACGACCGCCTCCGTGGTGTAGTGGTTAGAGCGTCCGCCCGGAGTGTGGAAGGTCGCGGGTTCGATCCCCGACCGCGTCATACCAAAAGACGTTAAAATATGGTACATGTACTTGTTGGTCCCTGCCTGGCGCTCGGCATTAATGGGTACATCAAGGACTGGTCGGCTCGGAGTCAGTATAATGTGTCTGAGTAGGGTATTCATGCTTCACTGCGGCATGGTATCTCAGTGGGCTAGCACTATAAGCCAGCTTCAGTCTGGGCTAGAACAAGCAGCCGCACATACACATACACACGCATGCACGTCGTCATATGAGCGAAATATTCTCAAGCACGACGTTAAACCCAATTCCACCACACCACGTAAGAGGCGACTAACGGGATCGGGCGGTCAGGCTCGCTGACTTGGTTGACACATGTCATCGGTTCCCAGTGACGTAGATCGATGTTCACGCTGTTGATCAATGAGTGCGGCGTAAAACTAAACTCACTCACTACAACAAAACGCATTTTTTCGTTATGTAATATTTTTATTACATGAAAATCAATATAAATTAGAAAATACAAAACACATAAAGATATGTACAAACGCATACTGTTAAAACCCGAGTACACGATATTTTTCATATTGCTGTCGTTTCTTCAGTAGTCATAGTTCCCACAATCGACAATTTCCCCGTTATAACGCCACACGGCCGAACATGGGTTGTCTTTGCAGTAGTAGTTTCTGAAATGGGGAAAATCTGTTTCAACAAATGGCATCGGAATGTGAACTTGCTTTGATATCGTGATACAGTGAAACAATGAGGGGCGTAGGGTTGCCTAGTTGTTAAAGCGTTCGCTCGTCAAACCGGCAAACCCCGGGTTCGATTCCCTGCATGAGTACAATGTGTGAAGCCGTTTCTGGTGTGCCCCGCAGCGATATTGCTGGAATATTGCCAAGTGCGGCGTAAAACTAAACTCACTCACTCCAACAATGCTTACTCACCACTCACTGAAACAATGCTTACTCACTCACTCACTCACCCTCGTACGCTCATCCCTAAATCACGCAACATGTCATCTATATACAATCTCATTCACTCATATCCACTCACGTACCCTGGGGCGGTGGGGTAGCCTAGTGGTTAAAGCGTTCGCTCGTCACGCCGAAGACCCGGGTTCGATTCCCCACATGGGTAAAATGTGTGAAACCCGTTTTGGGTGACCCCCGGCGTGATATTGCTGGAATATTGCTAAAAGCGGCGTAAAACTAAACTCTCTCACTGACTCACTGACTCACATACTCACATTCCACCTCACTCGTTCACACACACACAAACACACACACACACAAAACACACACACACACCCATGGTTGAGAGGACTCACCGACAGACAGCTGTGGGGTAGTTTGTGCAGTTCTCCTCAAACTGACAGGGGGTCACGAAGCACATGGGAAGC